CGTCAATAGTTACATCAATAAGTTTGTCAGGAATCTAGAATAGAAAGGGGTTACCAATGTAAGGCATGTGGGAACTCCAACTCCCCTCTATATAAATCATTGTGGAATAATTTGCTTAAAGTTGCAACTTGTGGTTCAATAAGTCCATCCAGGAACATATCTGAAATCCCATAGTCATTTTGTTATCCACATTGTGCAGATTATTTTTGCCTTTCCTATCAACTCAGTCAAGTAATTGCTTCAATTCTTTCTTCTTTCTTTTTACATCTTTAGATGCAGATATTGACATATAATTGAGACAACATTTGTTTTTGGAAGATAAAATAAAATTTATTGGACAAAAAGAGGAGTACAAGAAGGCTTACCAGCGGTCACCTGAGAGAATTATAAAAGAACATATGGTAAAACAACCCTTCACACCCACTCACAAGTCCAACCAAGAGATCCCCCTGTGCGAATAAAAGACAACAAAAAATACCACTTCCAAGTCCAACTAAAACGACCACAATTTTCTGCCCGAATAAAGATCAAATCCCCATTCAATTCCCCAACTTCAACATCAAACTAACACTGACCGTTACCTTAAATACCTTCAGATCAAATCTGTTGTCCATTTCCTGCAAACTTTTGAGCAGTCACCTCTTTTTCTTAGAAGTTAATTTAGTTTTCTTCACCTTCCTGATAGGTCCAATCCCAAATGAACCTCCTCTTAATCTTGCAAAAGCTTTTGACACTGAAACAGCTCTGTGCTTCTTTTGATATCTGAAGCGCTTCACTGCAGTGATATTCTTTTTAAGCATTTTCTGTTCCTTAGAACCCTCGACTATCCTTTCTAGTTCCAGAACCACATTCTTCTCAAATATTTCAGATGCAATCAACTCTCTATCCTCTTTACCTTCTCTTGGAATTCCCGCTGGCCTCCACCTGATTTGTGCATCATTAACCTTTGGAATACCATTCCCTGCCACCACCAATTTCTTTTTCTCCTGTTCATTTTCTTCCAACTTCTTGAATGCCTTCTTTGCAAGTTCTTCTCCTCCTGGGAAAAATAATTCCAATATTTTGGTCACTCATACCTCCTTGTTTAGTATTGCTTCCAAATCAATAAAACTCTCTACTTCATGTGTCTTGTCAACATCACATCATCTTCTTCAATATCAGCCTCACTTTCTTCATTATCGTTGAGTGGTTTTGTTTTATAGTTTCCTTCTGTTGTGGACCTTCACCAATGCCATGTCACTACAAACTTCCCCTCCTTGTCAATACAGCTTTTTCTGGGTTGGTCCCACTCACACTGCTGACTCCACAGCCCCTGTTGTCTTGTCCTCTACCCCAACAGTATTCTGGCTAGCATCACCTTTGATCATTTCCTTCTCCTCTACCACCTGGCCTTCTCTTGTCTCCTCATCCCTCTCTTCTTGACCCACCACCCCTTTATTCCCTTCATTGACCCTGCCCTTTCTTCTTCAGCTTCCTCACATAGTCACACCCCGTTTTTTCCATTGCACTACCCTTACCCTTTCCATTTGACAAAATCTAGCCCACCTTCCAACAACCTTCCAATCGAATAACTCCTTTTCCACTCTTCCCATCCCTTTCTAGATTTTCTCCCCTCTGAACTCCATCTTCATATATTCCCTTACCTAAATTTAACTCTAATAGGTTACTGCCTATCTCAGGGCTCCTTCGAGGGGAACCGACCTGCAGAGAGAGAGAGAGAGAGAGAGAGAACTCTGTGTTCTTATTCTCGATTGATAGAAGGCACAACTTATATAAGCAGTAGCTGGCCGTTACACTACAGAGTAACCAATTCAGTTGGTTATGATAATGGAATTAGTTGTGATTCCATCGAACGTGGCCTAGAGTTGTGATTCCAATTTTCTCATCCCATCCTTTCTCGTTATTTTCAGTAGGACCTGTTAATACCAAACACGATAACAAATTTAATTTCCGTAATTGAACTGGATTTGGTCCAATCCGATCCAGTCCAATGTGAGTCCATTATAAATGGACCAGGTTTGATTCAATTCAATGAATGTTTTGAACCAATTTGGACCGGTCCAATTCAATGTCTGGACCGTCCAATCTGTTCAAATTTATTTTGATTTAGATTGGTTTCAACCCAAACCCAGTCCATTGACACATATATTCTTATCCTATATCAATGGATCAGATATTGGCTTAATCCAACCCAATCTAATATAAATTTGTTACGGGCGGACCAGATCCAATCTAATCTAATAAATATTTTAGATCGGATTGGTCCAATTCAATGTCTTGTTGGTCTGTCCAATCCGTCCAAATTGATTTTGGACTAGACGATGTCCAATCCAAAAGCAGTACATTGACACCCTTACTGCCCACTAGACCTGTTCATGAGTCGGGCCGGGCCGGGCCGGGCTTTGACTCTTTATTAACAGAAAAATATTAGGCCCGAGCCCAAGCCCGGCCTGACCAACGRGCCTACAACTTGGGCCCGAGCCCGGCCTTGATAAAAAGCCCGAAGCCCGACCTAATAAAAGAAATTCAAAATTTTCACTATTCAAATAGACATTATCTATTTTAATTCAAATGTTTTTTTCCCCTATTTAAATGAACAATGGCCCTACAAGTGAATCAACAACCTTCTCAAATCAAAAAATTTATTCAAATGGACATCACATAGGGTTTTTACTTAGGTTTAAGTATAGGTCGAGCCGGGCTATTTTGGCAAAGCCCGAGCCCGGCTCGAATTTTATGCGGGCTGGGCTTTTTGGCCCGCGGGCCAAAAAGCCTGTTCAAGCCCGTCCGGGGGTCGGGCCAGCCCATCGGGCCACCCGGCCCATGAATAGGTCTACTGCCCACAAACCTACCCACCACTATTTACTGGTGAAGGAATTAGGAACGTTATCAACAGCTGGTAAAAGCGATGTCTCACTTGAAGCATGCGAAAACCTGGTATAAATTGGACCTCTTATGTTTAGGGCTGGGTTAGGTCAGATTGAGGCCAACCCTAGCCCAACCCTTAAAATCTTGGGCTAGGCTTAGGATGGGTCCAAACCAACCTTCTTCCCATCCCTTAAAATCTTGTAGAACTTCTTAATCTTAGATCTTAACTCAACTTTCATTACATATATTAATCCTATGTTTTATTAGTATTTGTTTCTTGATATTTTTATTGGTTCTTTAAGTACAAAATTAAAAAAAAAGGTGTTTGAAATGACTATAGTTTATTATCATGACTTATAATAGATCTTTTATAGGCAGCAAACTATGGGTGGAAAACAACAGAGAGGAGATAAAGAATAAAATATTCAAAAAACATAAAATATGTTATCAAGATTTTAGTATTTCCAATTAGAATCAAGTGAATTGATTGTCTTAAATGAAATAAATGATAGTATGTGGTAGTGGCTCTACAACTATCATGCATCTAAACAAATCAATGTATCATCATATATAACATATATTTATATATAATATGTACTATAGAGTCGGGTTCGGGTTGGGCCGAGTTGTCCAAGGGATCAACCCTAATCCAACCTGAAATAAAATCAAGTTCATAAATTTCAACACTAACCCTAACCTGAGCATCAACCTGACTCAGTCCAATGGTTAGGTTGGATTCGGGCTAACCCGGCCCAAGTTGCAGCCCTAAGTTATGTTTATATATGTACCACGTGCTATGCACTAGTCGTTCCATTGGTCTACCAAAAAGGAATAAACCTTGTTTGTATGACATTGACAGCATATGTAAGAGGTTTTATTTTCTGGTCAGACTAGGAGACGTAAGGACCAAGTATGTGTTTCTTTTTTTAACTAACAAATGACCACCTTAAATAAATGAATGCAATGACATTGCCGGCTGGCTTTGCAACAAATCCAAACACAATACAACTCTGTGTTAACAATTCGACCCAACTCCCAACCTCTTATATAATCCGTCTCTTATCCCTTGGTTCGGTTCATATTCAGAATCAAAATTGAACTCCATGGGAATTCGAATCGGAATAGCCTACTCCCCTGCAGACAGAAATTGTAATTGGAATCAGTTGAAATATAATAGATTCTCATTGGGAGTGAGAATCGTATTCAGATTCTGTTCACATATGATTGAAATTGGAATGGATCATTTCGATTCCAATTCCAAGAACCTTCCTCTTCCTGTGAATTAAAAAGGACCATAAATGTAATACCGAGTTGAGTGTCCCTATGTGAACAGTATTTTGCAAGATGAAGATGAATTTCCTTGGGTTTAGGTTTAAACCGCAACCTCACCCCAGTCCCTAGATACTACCGGGTTTGAACTTTGAAGGTCCCATCTCCCATGGCCATCCCATTCCCAATGACAAAACGTAGGTAGTAGGTCATAGGTGTGCGTGCGATCTGCTGCAACAATCGAGCACTCTGATATTGCTGGTTTTTACTTTTGGGTAATGAAATGGGATTTTTATTATTCAGCACCCCAACAAATCTTAATCCCACCGTACGAAATCCTGACAGTAATTTCGATCCACATTCCCAGTCTCGTCTCTGAAAATGCTGGTTGGATTGGTACGTACAACAGAGCAGAGTCCCGGACGAGACCGGATTTCTCCTTGTTGTTTTTCACAATCTGTGACTGAGTGCACCTGTCATTACGTCGATGGCACTTCCACACTCCCTCCCTGCCTGCCAATACAATCTAACGAATCTGGATAGCTGTCATTTGCTGATTGGAAAACGATCTATCATCTAAAATCCGGCTTCCATGTTATTTCAGGAGTTAGGTTGAGTATGACCCGATCTGCTTCTTGAGTATGTAGGCAAAAAGTTTTGAGTTCAGAATTCTGATGCTACAACATATATAAATATTGGCTATAGTAATAACGGTTATTTTTCCTGGCTCTTAATAAATTTCGCATTTTAATGGATGGTACCAAATGAAGCAGTAGTCATCCTTATCAAGCTTCAATTTCATATAATAGATAACCCGAACAGGAAGAAATTGAGAAAATAAATAAGATGCTATTTTTTATCAATTGCGTCAAAATAGATATCAGCTCTCCAGGATTCTTCTTATTTTAATAAATATATATTTGTTAACACCCTCCTCCCGGTCCCGGGATAAAAACAAAACAAAGATAAAATCAATTAATTATCTACTAATTAATGGCTGGGCTGGCTATTCTGTAAAAAAAAAATATTGTTCTTTTTATTCTTATCTACAATAAGACAAGAAAAGCCGTTGGTCCCTCCCGACCAAAATCTAATGCTCTTGGGCTATGAAACTATGAATGCTCATTTTATCAACAACCAACTCTAACCAATCGATCCCATCCCGCTGCGCTGTCCTTCCATCTTCTCCACAACATGACTTTGAGCTCTATCTCTATTGGCCTCACCTCCCTTACTGCTTTGCCTGCATTATATGTAACCAATTAACCATCATTAGTTTAGTTCCGAGCAACCCCGTTGCCACTCAATAATCAATTCATTCATGCAACTACTATACATACAATATTTATAACAACTGCATTACAATTAAAGCAGTATGCTCGCATGCTTCAGAAAAGGGGAAAAGAAGCATTAAGCTTGTCGTCGTCCACTCTTCAGAGTACCAACAAATAGTCCATTCGAAAATATAAAAAAGTCCCATGTTTCCATGGTGGCACAACTAGTCCAGTATAAAGACTACCCGGGGAAAAGCTCGAATCTTCCCTTCATGTGGAAAGAAAAAATGGGACTGCCTAAGGCAGTACCAAAGACTGACGCAACTCACCTACAAAACCTTCTCCCTTGTAATTATACCACCAGAAACCTCTGGGTGGAGGATATTGCAACTGAGAAACCCAGGATATCTAGTGCTAACCACCAAACCGTGGTTGATGTTTCTGCACCCCATCCCCCTATCTTCCAAACATAAAAGCAAGCTTTGGTACACTCAACATTCAGCAAACCAAATGTTACTTGACTCGGTAAAAGATTTGACTCAGTAAAATATTTTAGAAAACCATATGGTAACATGAAACATGATAGTGTATTTTCCCCATTGATCAAATCKCTGATGAATTTTGGGGCTTTAGTTATTTCCGTGACCCTAGTATTGTGGTTTAACAAAGACAGAATTCCACTTTCAGCCTCTTCTGTAGGGAGATTTTTACATGGAATCAAGTGATATCATGTATATACAAACAAATAGCATTTTGTCCGTTTATCTGGTTAAGCATTCTAGTCCAGAAAAAAAAAAGAGTCACGGGCATTTAGTCCTATAAAAAATTCATGAAAAAAAATCAGGCAGTCATATTCAAATCATTATGGAAGTGAAAATTTACCTGGGAGTAAAGGAAGGTTCCAAGGATTGCGATAGCAGCTCCCATAGCATTGATGGGCTGGACGGGTGTGTGGAAAATGATGATAGAAGAGACAATGACAGAAATCCTCTTCATGGTATTCCCAATGCTAAATGTCAAGGGGGAGATTTCATCCAACGACATGTATGAGACCTGATTGTATAGGTGGTAGAACACACTTTGAGCCGCCACCCACCTGATGCGTACAAGAGAGATAAACACAACCACAGAAACAATTTCTTTAGTGAGATATTAAACAAAAGAAGAAGAATATCACAATCTGAGAAGAACACATTAGGCTAGGAAACAAACCCTCCAAAACAAGGAAAGACACATGCTTCATTGTTAGAACATCAAATCAAAGTTGCCACTTCAATAATTCACATTCAGCCAAGAGAGAGAGAGAGAGAGAGAGAGAATAGATAGATATTATTCAAGCTACACATTGTTGCATGTAAAAACACAGTGCAATAACAATTAAATAAATGAAGTAGAGTCAGTAGTTGGAAAGTGACACCTGTAATTACTCTCAGATATTTGAAACAATACCAACATAATACTAATACTAATACTAATAATAATAATCAAACAAGTACTCTGTAATTACTCTCCTTGACTTGTACTCAATACAAAGCAGACATGCAGAAAGCAACAAATGGTCCATTGGCCAAACTTCAATATGTTTTACAGGAAATCACATATTTCAACTGCAAGCTACATGTTAAATATCCTAGCAAAACTCAATTATGTTTAATTTCTAAACATCCAAGTAAAAAACATGTTGTTCCAGTAATGCTTTAGTTTGTAACTGTAAAAAGAATGAAGCCAATCATATATTGGATCTTTTCTACTTTCCACTCTGGTGTTAACTGTAACTAACATAATTTAGATAGATTTTTTCGCATCATTTTGTACTGTTTCTTGTTTAAATATTTTTTGTTTGCTAAATAGAGAAGAAGAATTTTAACCAAGCAACCAACTTATTACCATACCAAAATAAACAACCATGGAGAAAGTAGGAAGTACAGCAGAAGCAAGCAGAACAAGGCTGTCAGTCATTGTGGTTACCATATGAAATGGGGTCCAATTTGAGAGATTGCTTTTTCCCATCCAGCTGCCCACATCTGGGGTCCCTCTACAGCAATGGCAAAAGGAGTGAGGATCAAAAGGGACAACATAGAGAGACAAGCGTAGTAGTTCATGCCACCGACGGATTTTCCCTTCATCCCTCTCTTTGAGAATATGTTTCGGAACACGAATGCCAGATTCGATATCATAGCGCCCATAAAGCCTAACACAAACCAACAACCACGACTTCAGCTTTCAAAAATCAAAACAATACCCCAAGAACAAATAAAAAATAATTTTATCATTTGCGTCAAAAATACTGCACCCATCCACCAACCCACCCCAACTAAACTTTTTGACCAATGGCAAAAGAGAGATTAAAAATGCAAAAAAAAAAAAGAAGAAATGAGTACATAAAGAAAATATGGTTCCTAATAAGGGCATTACAATTTACTAGAGTTGCACAAGGGAAAATTATCACAGTAAAAATCAACAAAATTTTGGTTGAAGGGCATTAAAAATGAAGAACTTAATAACTTGGGAGCCAAACAACTTTAAAGTCAAAAGAAGAGAGCTCCTATTACCAGTCATATTGAAGTTGAGTTCAGTGACAGCAGCAAGTGCACAACCTCCGATAATCGGCAGAAGAGACAGATAAACCGCTGCCGGAAACGTCTCACCCAAGAGAAACCTTGAAACCAAGACACTGAAAGCAGGTTCACCGCTCTTGATGATGTGGGTGAACGAAACAGCAACCTTAGACATACTGACCGTGGCTGCCACATGGCCGATGGTATGTGCGACCGCGACCTACAGAATAAAGTCAGAGAGAAAACTTTAGCACAAAACTCCCTAAAGAATTCATGTACAAGCGAAAAGAATCAAAGCTAAAACCCTAAACACAGCAAAAATCCATTATTCGCCTTACCGGGAAGAGGGTTTTCCAGAAGTCCAGATCGGTTTTCGGTGCTTCCGCGATTCTTGTAGCCCATGAAATCAACATCATTAGTGACCCAGTTGCGAGAGACAGGGTGGATGTGAGCCAGGGGTACGGAAAAGCGTTTAGGACTTTCTTGTTGTAGATGTTGAAAACAACATTCAAAGCCCACCAAATTGCAAAGTAGATGCCGATTTTCAGTTTCTGCGCTGCTGCCGAGCGAGCCTTCTGGTCGGGGAGCTCAATGTTGGCGTCTATCGGCTGCGATCGATCGGCCTCATATGCTTTGCACTCAATAATGGGCTTGCGAGGTTTTGCACCTTCAAAGGATCCAAAACCTTGAAGGGAGGAAATATACAGAGGTTTCCTGGTCCATAGACCAGAATCAGGCTTTTTGGCAGACAACATGGAGGGAAACAACGATATCCGGGATTGTGGAACAGACGACTTTGGCCGCAACCTTGAGACATCTGAGACAGTGAGAGTAGTTCCCGATGGCCTTACAGAGCACATCATCTTGATACCGCAAAATGGACAGAGGGATAAGAGAAAACAGATATGATTTTGAGCTTATAGAAGACCCAAACACAACGGTGAAACTCGCAGTCCTAAAGAAGAGCTACCCACAAAAATCAATAACAGGAGATCTCGGCTGACGGATTGAGAACTTTGATTGAACCTGAAAAGAACTAACCTTTTATGTTAAAAAGCTTTCAGTGGAAAGGTGATCCGACGTTTTTATTAAGGAAAGCTGATGATATTTCAGCAAGTGCAACTACGAAATTGCCTAAATCGATTTTCTTTCTCTATTTGTCAACAGAGTAAACCAAATTGCCAATGATACCTCAAGAAGAAGAAGCAGAGAGCAGAGGAATCCTCAATGTTTTTTGTCGACGAATGCTCTGGAACAATCTCCGAAACCAGGAAGCTTCTTCGCTTTCCTCCCGGTGAGAAAATTTTTCCTTGATCGTCTCGATCGCTAGGTGGAGAAAACGATATGGAAGAACACTTCCAAAAGCGAATTTTCCGAAGACAAAGAACGATAAGGTGAGAGGTCTTAAGAAGCCAGAGAAAAGGAACTATTAAACGAAGAAGGAATCAGGGATCTTCTCCTTCTCGGAGAGGAAAAGAGAAGAGGGAGACGGTCAGCACAGAAATACGGAAATAGAAAGAGGAAAGTCCGATTTTATAAGCAAAATTGAGCGCTGAGCGGACTCTCCTCTAATTCCAATTAAGCCCCTACATTTGTTTAGAATTACTAAAAGATCCATACGGGTCATATGATCATGACACGTAGTCTACGGGTCATACGGGTCATTAGGTCATAGAAGACCTCTAAAATTTTACCCTTTGATCTGTGATTGTATGCATGTATGATTTATTGAAGAATTGACCGAGACAACAGCCAGGAATCACGTTCTGGAATCTGGGTGTGGCAGCGTACGATGGGCTCCCGTGAGGACTGTGGGCCATTGAAGTAGCCCATATACCACACTCGATGATAATGGGGAATTTGGATCTGCTGACCACGATTACGGTGCTGATCACATTCATTCAGCCGCACATTGGGAACATCTATTAAACTTTATATCGCCGATATTTTTGATGTACGGCTGTATGAACGTGGACTGATGATGATATTGTGCATTGGATTTAGATGGAGATGTTTTTGTGTGGACAGCCGCCCCTGATTATCAGGTGATTAGCATCTCCTAATCAGGCCAAAATGGTATAGGAGAAGATATTTCGGACGCGGGTCCTACGTCTCAAAAGCATATGCCACTTTAAAAGTCATGATCAGACGGACTTCTTGTCGTGGGCCCCGCAAAGATCAAGTACATACTAAAATCAGATTTTTGATTGGAGGAGGGAATCCTTTCACGTGAGGACGTGTCTCTTCCGTCGTTAAATTGGAATCTACATGGAACGACTGCCCCAGCTTGGCAGTTTGGCTGGCAACAAAAATCATGTCCTTACTTACCCTAAATGGATGGCGACCCCTGCAGTTATTTTTTAAGCAGATGGTGATGCAGTATATTGTGAGAGCATGCCCTAATCCTTGCCACGTGGCAATATAACAGCCCCTCATGAGTCCCGAGAGCAAAATGACCCAATGTTGAAGTCATGGGTCATGCGTCCACAGCGAAAGGGTATTTTACTATTTAGAACCTTTTTTTTTTTAATATTCTAAGAGACGAAGAGAAGTTTGGTGGATAAACAAAAAGAGGCAACTTGTTTTGGAGTTGGGTCAAGATTAATTCTCGTGTTACAAGAGACAAACAGAACAGAGGGGAGTCTGCTTCATGGTTCAAACTTCAGCCTCCTCCCTTCCTTTAAAAGGGGTCTGARATGAACCGCTGGAAGGGAGGTTGGGAAGAGAAACACGTGTTGACTTATTAACTAGGGTAGGTGTTACGTGATAGTTTCCCATATCAATTCGAATTTGTATTATCGAAAACAAAAAAAGTCTAATTTGATCGACCAACCATGGAGTACAGCTGTATCACCCTATACCCTTATTCTTTACGGTTGAACTGGAATCTCAATACTAAAAAGATTCTAACTGTAAACAATAAACGTGAACGGTATGCAGCACTATAGCCAAGGTCCCTTGTCTGTTCAAGGGAACCATCCGCGCCGGCGTTGTAATTTGACTACGGCTGTTCCTCTTGTTTTTGTGATGGGTTATGAATTCAATTCAAACGTGGTGTTATATCTATCGGTGCAAGTCGGGCGGGTTTATAGTCGATTCAGGCCTGATTCTAAAATTTGGGTTTAAGGTTAATGTTCAGACTGAGTTCATGTAATTTGATGCATTTGGGTTGGATTTGAGTCTAAATCGAATTTGGATTGATTAATAAATTCATTTTTAAATTATACATATAGATGTAAATATATATACATACAAATATTATATATAAATATATATAATTGGACCGGTTGGGATTGGATTCAAGTTACATAGGGTTTAGGCCTGAACTTGGCCTTGAAAAAAAAAAAAGAAAAACCGATTTCCTGAGTTTGAACCCGATTCGAGGACCAAAGATCTAAGCCCAATCTATTAAAATTCCTGACTGAGCTGGGCAACCCAAGTTGCACCCCTATTATATCTCAGCACCGGGTGCTAGGCTTATAGTTCTGTTCGCAGGCTATTTGTGAATCCAAGCACCAATGATGGATTCGGGATTCGCCATTAATTTGCTGAATACCTAAAATTGATTCGTTAAGGTGGCGTTTGCCAAGAGACAACATGCATTAAATCTAGGTTGTCAATTAGCAAAATATACTAAGTTGATATAATTATTGCAATATAACGAGTTTAGTATTTCCAATTTATAAATCTTGTTTATTATATTTCATTAATAAAATTGAGGTGGAATTCCAATACCCAAAAGAGATTCTACYGTAATTTAAGATGATATGCACATCAACGGACGAAAGTCTTATATGCATGGAATGATGCTCAACTCTAGGCTATAACTCAAAAAATGCCTTTTAGGGATTTGACCGTGATACTAGAAAAATTTGTAAGTATTATAAAAATGATAACAAATCAGAAGGTAGTTTTGAAAATTAAGAAYGAAAATAAATAAACAGATAGATAGATTTTGCTTCAACAGATATATCTTACTTCATATATTGATTGTTATGTATTACTTCTTAAAAACTATTTATGTTTTTATATAATATTTATATATTGGAGCCTTAAAATTAGTGTTTTTGTATCTAAGTAATTTTTTATGTTCATAAGTTTCCAAAATCGTATCCCAATACATTTCTTGAAATTATATTAATATGTATGCAATACCGATGAGTGGATCAATGATGTGTTTTACTTAATGGGTCTTAATTCCAAAACTAATTTCTATGACTCAAGAACTGATTGCAGTTCGTGGGTAGGTCCACTAAAATATGCAACTCTTGGTTGGTTAAGTTAGGTAGACATGGACACGAGTGGAAGCAGGTATGAGTCTCACGTGCGCCTAAAAACAGGTATAGAACGATAGATGATTAATAGCTTGATGCCGCTGCTAAAATGCTACCGAGTACCGACCACAAAAAGTAAGGACTAATAACGGGTGTTAGGCTGTGTTTGGTTTGAAAGAGTGAAATTAATAAAATTTAGGGAAAATTCTTGATCAATACTCTGTATTTTGGTTTGAGCGATAATTTGATTTTCAAATTTTAAAATGTGACAATCTAGTACTCAAATTTTTGAAACGTGACAATCTAGTACCTGTCATTAACCAACCATTAAGTGGCATGTGAAAATATATAAATGCCCTTCAAGTGTCATCTAATTTTCTTTATTAATCATCTGCTAAAATCAGAACCAAACGTCAAATTTTTCACCCCTGTGACAACACTTTTGTCTTTCTTCTCCTTTGAATATTTTGTCATCTTCAAACCAAAACCAAAGCAATTTYTGGGAGAAAAGTTTTCCTTTAACTATTGTAATTATCTTATCTGAAAAAACGGAAAAAGAGAAAAGTCTCTAGCCACCATCATTGACCTCTCTCTCTCTCTCTCAAGTATCAAGACAAAGCTTCTAATTCTTTTCCTCTCTTTTACCTATAGGAATAAAATATTATTGCGTTAAGTTAAAAAAAAAAGTTGAATAAAACCTAGAATTTTCTGTTCTTGGCAAAGATTTGCAACAACTTTGCAAGAAAGGCAAAGTCGTTGCAAGTGTTTGTGACAGAGAGCTTGGGCTCTGTTGCAAGGGTTTTGGTGTTTGTGACAAAGAGCTTAGGCTCTGTTTCATCTTCTTGAGGAAGAAGAAGATGAATAGTGTGTTTTATTTCAAGGGTAATTTTGATATTTTCAAAACTCTTAACTCGTACATGAGGTCACGTGATATACATAACTGACAGTCCATTAACGGCAGGTACTAGATTGTCGTGTTCCGAAAGTTCGGGTACTAGATTGTCGCATTTTAAAGTTCGAGGACCAAATTGTCACTTGAGCCAAAGTACATGGTATTGATCAGGAATTTTCCCTAAAATTTAAGATAAATTTCTTAAACCTCCCCTGAAATTTCTGGTTGTTACTAAAATTTTTCCTTAACTTTTTGACATAGGCCATGTTTGGGAGTGTTTATGTTAAAAATAAGTGTTTATTGAATAAATGCTTAAAAACAATTGCTTATTCGAATATAAGTACTTATTTGCATTTGGCACCAACTTTTTTAAGTGCTTATTTTTACTTATTTTACATTGGGCGTTTGGTAGCTTTTTTCTCCAATAACCACTTAAATAAGCATTTKTGATTATTTTGTTCTGTCATTTTCTTTCAAATTCTATGAAAGTACTTTTGTGAAAGCACTTTTACAAAARTACTTTTACAAAAACACTTTAATAAAAGTACTTTTATAACAGTGTTTTCATAGATTTTATAAAAGTATTTTTGTAAGTGTTTTTATAAAAGTGCTTACAGAAGTACTTTTACGAAAGCACTTTTATGGAAGTACTTTTATAAAATTCAACTAGGGATAATTTTGGAAGAAAAATATTGAATAAGTGCTTGTATAAGCACTTAAAAAAAACTGGAAATTTGGGCTTAAAAAATAAGCCCTTATTTTTAAAATAAACACTTATTTCAGGCTTATTTCCCAAACACCAATAAGTGCTTAATGGTGTGGTCCCGACCCAAATAAGCACTCCCAAACATGGCCATAGTTGCAAGTTGATCCCCTTTTTTGGAATCCTCTAAAAAGAGGTATGGAAATGTTCAAAATACCCAAGCAGCTATTTTTAACTAAAAAGTTTATTTTCCAAAATTTTCTCTTCATATGAATGGTTAGTCCAAACCCTACTAATCTCCTTTTTGAAATTGATTTATTTTCTAAATTTTTCCTTTAATCAACCACTCAAAGGTAAATTTGCAAACTTAAATGCTCTAAATTTTTCCTTTAATCAACCAGCCTAAATAATAATTGTATGTGTGTTTTGGAYATTTTTGTGCCTCTTGTTAGAAGATTCTAACTAAGGGGAGGGGGTCTATTTGCCATTCTATTAAAAAGTCCACGGGGAAAATTGCAATTACCAAAATTTTGAGAAAGTTTCAGCAACGGTAAGAAAATTGGGGTGCATCTTGTGAATAATACCAAAGAAAGGTAAAATCCCATAAATAATAAGCTGAATAGATTGATCAATGGATCATAGTATTAT